ATGAAGAAAAACTGTCTGCTGGTCCTGGATTTGTGTGTATGTCCCCTGACAAAAGTAAGATTAAGATCAAGACAAGGGCGATGTTGTTTGGGTTGCTATATGTCTGTAGAAAAACAAGAAAAACAACTGATATAGGCAAATATATAAAATGTAGCTTAAAAATATCGTAATAGGAATAAGTGTTGTTGTTGAATCTGTACGTATTGTTTAAATGGGTTTGTTTAGAGTAATATAGTTCTATAAATAGTATGTAGTGCTTTGACATTTGCCTAGCACCTTAAAAAATAAATGGAATGCGTTTTAAGTGTTCTTATTTTTACGACTCATGAAATAGAGTGTCGAAAAAGCTTTCATGAAAGAAACAAGAGATCCCTGAGGGATCTTGGCGCCCACCTTTGTACCATCTTCATTAGTTCTTTGTCAGTTTGATCTTTTCTCTTCTTTCCTCTAATCTGTTTGATCGAGTCATGTTAACAGTAAATGCACCTTGAGGTAACTTTTGATCTAAACTTAATACTGATGTGTATGAAAGCCAACTTTCAAAGTGAGTTTGTCATTTCACATATTTACTAATACAGTACTTAATGTGAAAGAAATAGAATCGATCATTGCAATATGAGAAAGATCTGTTTAGTTCTTCTTTTAATTCATTTTGTTTTAATGATCAGTCTCAAAATATAAAATGCACAACGAGAGATCAAGGGGAACCTACATATAAAATTTGAGAAAGATCCCTCTGGTACTTCCCGAGAAATAGCGATAACAAACTTTCACTATCAAAATCCAAGATGGCTGCCTGTCGGCCATGTTATTTATCCGATCAGTCTTAAAAATTGCCCTGCACAACTAAGGACAAAGGGGAACATACATATAAAATTTGAGAAACTTCCCGAGATATAGCGATAACAAACTTTCACTATCAAAATCCAAGATGGCTGCCTGTCGGCCATGTTGTTTATCCGATCAGTCTCAAAAGTTGCCCTGCACAGCGTAGGACTAAGGGGAACCTACATATAAAATTTGAGAAAGATCCCTATGGTACTTCTTGAGAAATAGCGATAACAAACTTTCAATATCAAAATCCAAGATGGCTACCTGTCAACCA